TATATAAATAAATAATTCACATTTCAAATGGACAAATAAATAGTCATATCTAAAAAAAAAAATTTTTTTTTTTCATTTAAAAAAGCATTTGACATGAATTAAAATTAATAAATTAAGCAAAATGATTAAACTTTATAAATGCATTGTGACTATATAATATGTGGTATGCAAGGTTCTCTCTGAACCACAACATTTTTGTAATAATATAATCATTGTTGTGAGAAGCGTATGTGTTATTATGGCCCTTGGCCTGGCAGCCAAGCCTCGTTTTATTATTATTATATTTATTTAAATTATATTTGTTATATTTAACAACATTTTAAACATGGAATAAATAAACAGTTTTGAATTACATTTTCTGAGTGGCACCAATAGTCCTCCATGACACAATGGGTTCTCAAGGTCTAAGTCCATAAATGAAAATGCTTTTATTTTTCTTTCTTTTTTCAGTTTCTTTAACAAAATAAAACTTAATTTTGCTTAAACTAAAAACTCCCTCCCACATTCAGACAACCCCCATATTCCCCAAAACACCTACAGTGTGCATACATGGAATAAGATAATAAATAATAAATACAATAAAATGCAAATAATTCTATAGTCACAGTACTGAACATCATTAAACTATACATTCAGTCTGCATTGACTTCAAAATATCAGAGCTACTCATTGTTGTTGTTGTTACTCATTATTAACAAGGTGAGTAAATAGAGACTGAATTTAGATTTTTGGGGTGAACTGTTCCTTTAAGGATCAGAGTATGAGTTGACTGAGATAGGTGATGAGCTGCATCATGATACCAGCGAACGCTGATTGGATTGGTTTTGTCAGCACAAGACAAATGGATATGAACAGAAGCAGTGCTGTAAACTAACTACTATCTGCTGGTAATTTTTTTTATTTTTTTTATTTGAACCATTTTTAACTCTAAATATAGCTCACTCCAGACTAACTATTTAATGGCAAACACGTAGGAGATTAAGGGACAGGCTGTCAGTTCATTAAGTGTTAAGCTGTTTACAAGCTGTTAACTGAAGTCGCTCTTCCATTGACATCCATTCAAAAACACAATTCAGCATTTGCACACCATTCCATTGAAAACACCCGAACCCTTAACTGAATTGCAACGTAATTTTCTAACTGTTTTTACATTTAAGGGTTATCAGAATTGATTCTGGTCCTGAAACACACTTTAATGGTCATGTAGGTCATGGATGTCTGTAGACTTAATTGGGTTCAATGACATTTTCATTGTCCAAGACAACTGCATTCATCAGGCGTGGTTGAAAGAGCAAAGCAAACTGGAAAAAATTTAAATAACAGGGCTAACATTAGTAACAGTTTATCAGCTAATAAAAACTGGACTGATGTCAGTGTCATTAACAGAGATCTTAAGCAGATGTGCATTTAATGACAGATGTTCTTCTAATGCGTTTCATGGCTCAAAACCAGATTTAGGATGTGAGGCGACAAAGCATCGTAGAAATGGTTTGTTATGAAACTACAGTAGACAGGCTTAGGATATAACCTGCGCTGTGTTGACTTCACAAGTGGGTTAGAGATAAGGGAGTGTCTCCATCTCAAGGGTTTTAACGTCCTTTGGGAGGGAACGTCTCCAGTTCTAATGGCTTCCCTGCACATGTCTTGTTCACACTTAAGTCTCACACACACTTCTTGGCTCGGTTTGTCTGTGAGAGGCTGTTAATGGACTTTGACTGACAGGTTGGGAGCCACGGGAGTGAGACTGGCTGTTGTGATAGGGCCTGCACTTGCTGTCAGGGAGCTTTCAGTTTCAGACACGAGTCAAATTAACAACAGTTTAGAGAGAATATTTAAAGCTGCCTGCCAAATTGTACAGTAAAATCATATGCTTTAGCACTTTATATACTGTTAAAATAAAAATAAAATAAAACAAGTTATAAAACAGTTGTCACGAATCCTGTCCATGAACTTCCGTTCAATCACCACCAGAGGTCACCCTTCCATTACATTGACTCTCGCACTACACAAACTGTTGCATGTCATCCCGGACTACATATCGCATCATCCATTGCACTGATTGCACACAGCACTGATTGCACACAGCTGTAACCAATCACACATTCACTATATAACACTCACTCAAACAACCATTCACTGCCGAGTATTGTAAGCGCATATCACTCACCTAGCGATAGCTACTTTACAGAGCCAGTTCCCTGTCCTTGTTTAAGTATTTAGTTCTAGTTTCCATAGTCATAGTCTTGTCTTGCCTGCTTTCCCGTGTTACCTGATTATTGCCCGTTTCTCTTGGATTAACCCTTTGCCTGGTGTTTGCACCTTGCCTGGACTCTAGCTCGTGTTATTGGATAACCCCTCGTGTCAAGCCCTCTGGATATTGTTAGCCGCTGATCGACCAGACCCGTTTTGGTTTACTCTTCTGTCTTGCCCTTAATATACCTGTTTGCCATTGTCTGACCCATGCCTGTTTCATGACCACACCCTTTAATAAAGCCTTGCAGATGGATTCGCAAGTCTCATGTCTCGTTCGCCCCGTAACAGAATACTCGGCCACACAAGGATCCAGCGGCTTTTCAAGTGGACACTGGCCAGGTATGGACATTGCAAGACTGTTATTAGCCCTTAAACAGGGCACACGATCGCTCGAGGACTATATTCAAAAGTATCTGAATTTTACTTATTTTTCTGATCTGCCGGACTGTGTACTCATAGACTTCTTTTGTGAGGGCATTAATCAGCCACTCAAATCATGTTTAATCCGTGAAGGTCCCCGCTCATCTCTCAGTCAGTTTATGGACTATGCTTTGTTGACTGTTGGTTCAACGTTCACTGTGGGTGTCGTGGAGGAATGCAACCCCGCACTCACTTGTGTAATGGCGGCCACACTAGAGCACGCTCACAAAATGGCGGACACAACAACGCCCCATTATGTCACAGCTGCCAATCCTGAACAGTCAAGTCACAGTTGTTCTTCAGGAGTCAAGTAAAGTCACAGCTGATCTTCCTGAGTTCAGTCAAGTCATGGCTGATCATCATGGGTCAGGTCTAGTCACAGTTGATCATCATGAGTCAAGTCAAGTTACAGTTGATCTTCCTGAGTCAAGTCTAGTCACAGTTGATCGTCATGAGTCATATCAAGTCACAATTGATCTTCATGAATCAAGTCAAGTCACCGTTGATCTTGCAGAGTCAAGTCAAGTCACCATTGATCTTCTTGAGTCAAGTCATGTCACCGTTGATTTTCATGAGTCTAGTCAAGTCACGGTTGATCTTCATGAATCAAGTCAAGTCACAGTTGATTGTCACGAGTCAAGTCAAGTCACAGCTGATCTTCCTGAGTCAAGTCAAGTCACCATTGATCTTCTTGAGTCAAGTCATGTCACCGTTGATTTTCATGAGTCTAGTCAAGTCACGGATGATCTTCATGAATCAAGTCAAGTCACAGTTGATCGTCATGAGTCAAGTCAAGTCTCAGCTGATCTGCTAGAGCCTCGTCACGTCTCAGCTGATCACCCAGAGTCACGTCACCTCACAGCTGATCATCCAGAGTCACGTCACTTCACAGCTGATCATCCAGAGTCACGTCACTTCACAGCTGATCATCCAGAGTCACGTCACTTCACAGCTGATCATCCAGAGTCACGTCACTTCACAGCTGATCATCCAGAGTCACGTCACTTCACAGCTGATCATCCAGAGTCACGTCACTTCACAGCTGATCATCCAGAGTCACGTCACCTCACAGCTGATCATCCAGAGTCACGTCACCTCAAAGCTGATCATCCAGAGTCACGTCACCTCACAGGTGATCATCCAGAGTCACGTCACTTCACAGCTGATCATCCAGAGTCACAGTGGTGCTCGCTGCTGTGTTCCCCGAAGCAATGGTGCCAGCTGCAGTTTCTCCAGAGGTGGCGGTGCATGCTGCAGAACCTCCCGAAGCGGTGGTGCTCGCTTCAGCTCCATGCGTGGTGGTGGCGCCCAGAAACGCACTTTCAACCTGTCATGTCAAAGTCGAAGGAACCTTTGCCAAACTCTCCCTGTATCCTGAGGGCACTACTGTAGAACCTCC